GTCCGTCACTTAGGACGGACGTTCACTCAAGTATAAACGTCCGTCTCGGCCAGGGACGGACGTTCAAAAGCTGCACATGGATTTTCACTGTTCAGCCTAATAAATGTCTGTCACTTAGGACGGACGTTCACTCAAGTATAAACGTCCGTCTCGGCCAGGGACGGACGTTCAAAGGCTGCACATGGATTTTCACTGTTCAGCCTAATAAACGTCCGTCACTTAAGACAGACGTTCACTCAAGTATAAACGTCCGTCTCGGCCAGGGACGGACGTTCAAAGGCTGCACATGGTTTTCACTGTTCAGCCTAATAAACGCCCGTCACTTAGGACAGACGTTCACTCAAGTATAAACGTCCGTCTCGGCAAAGGACGGACGTTCAAAGGTAACACATGGTTTTCACTGTTCACCTTATAAACGTTCCGTTGTCTGCGTATTAAACGTCTGTCACATGGGACGGACGTTAAATCAAGTATAAACGTCCGTCGCGGGCAAGGACGGACGTTCAAAGAGCTGATAGGTGTTTACTAGTTCAGCCTATTAAACGTCCGTCACCCAGGACGGACGTTCATAACATTATAAACGTCCGTCTCAACAAGGGACGGACGTTAAAATGGCTGACACGTGTTCACTTGTTCAGCCTATTAAACGTCCGTTACCAAGGACGGACGTTCAGAACATTATAAACGTCCGTCTCGACCAAGGACGGACGTTCAAAGGGCTGACACGTGTTCACTTGTTCAGCCTATAAACGTCCGTCACCAAGGACGGACGTTCATAACATTATAAACGTCCGTCTCGATCAAGGAAGGACGTTCAGAGGCTGACAGGGGTTCAATTGTTCACCCTATTAAACGTCCGTTTGGCAACGCTGGACGTCTATAATCTTATAGACGTCCGGCTCGATCCAGGACGGACGTCTACAGTTCCACTTATTTACTAATATGCCACCGGTCAATTATATACGTTGGGGCTTTTGTGGACGGACGTCTATTGGGAGACGTTAAAACCCCTTTCTGCACTAGTGATTTATCAGCATCATTAGGTGAAAAACCATCACATAGCAATACATTATCTAGTTTTTCACGCCATTGTCCTAAGAGGATTTTCGTTTCTTGCTCTACGCCTGCACTATAATGCATGATGGCCCGACTTCCCACATACGAAGCAATTTTCTTTCTTCTTAAAGGCGGGGTTAGATGCGTTGGGGAGATATTTTTGAAAAATATTTTTCTTATTGTGATCAGGTTTGTGTTCGTACCTTTTCGGAACAAATCTGTCTTCTACCATGTTTGCTTTTGCAGATAGAGCTTTGGCCCTTGCAGCAGTACACTCTTTCTTGTTGGTATCTTTAATAATTATGTGAGTGATCAGCTCTGAAAGTGACATTTGCTTGTGTCTGTATTTCAATTGTTGCTTATAATCAGTTGAGGAAGGCGGCCGTTTCTCGATCAAAAGCTCTGAAACAAACTCATATGGTAGAAGAATATTCTCCACTTTTATATCTTCTAGTAGCTTATGGTACTCATTGATTTGCAACTTTATGTCCTTGTCTTCAACCATTTCCCAACGATAGGAACTCCCAATAATGAACTTTTGTCTGACTATAACTTCAGTAGTGTATTTGAGAATCAACGAATCTCAAATGTCTTTCGCTTCCTTATAGGAACAATACACATCGAACAAATCGTTAAAGAGTGCACTAAGTAAAGTATGACGACATACCTTGTTTGCATGAACCTAATCTTCAACTTGTTTCAGATTTGGAGGGAGACCAGAGTCAGGTTTTGGAGATGAAAGAGCAAAGGCGACTCCGTACATGTCTAAGAGGGTTGACACATGTTCTTACCAGCTCCGAAAATTCTGACCAGAGAAGACTTCGATTTTTGATAGCTCCGAAAAAGGTTTCACGAAGACCGTCTAAGTTCTGGAAACAATATTCGGATTCTCCAGGATTGAGTTGTTCTTGTCAGCCATAAGTTCTAAAGATTGTTGTAGAGGATGACAATAAAAGAATAAAGATCACGAACAAAAGATTTCCCGAGGCGTGTAGATTATTGTCCTTAAAGACTTATCCGCGGTGTATTGCACAAGTCCCCAATGATACAAATGAAACCAAATGAAGAGAGAAGGAGAGAAGAATGGTTTCTCATGATGTGTTTTGGAGTGAATGAAGTGCTCTATTTATAGAATTTAAAGCAAGCTCATCATCCAAAATATCTACTATTAAAAATAATTTTAAATAAAATAAAAGAAACGTTGAAACCAAAATCTAAACATTGATAGCGTGCATTTTGGAAAATATCTTCAAAGCAAAACGTTGGAAGTAAGTGAAGCTTGCGGAAAAGATTTTGTAATTCTTAGCTTTACAATTTGGCCACGCATCTTCAAAATTGTTTTCTCTGATAAACTTTTGCGATATATAAACTTTTTTAATAATACTATATATAGAATAATTCTTTTATAACCTTAATATTTATTGATAACAATTGACTTAACGTTAAAATGTGTTTGCAGACTCCCACGCCGAGGTCAACTCACCTTTACCATAGAGAACATATGGACATCAATAGGAAATGATGCATGTCATGAAGGTAGAGTGAATACATAAAACTTCTTAGTACACCTTGGCTTAATAAAAAGAATAGTATGCTTCTAAGTATATCTAATAGGTTTATCAAGAACTTTAAACATAAGAAAAATATCACTTTATTTGTGATTATGAGTATAAAATTTTCAACTAAAATTTGTTAAGATAAATCATGAAATAATTGACTTATTTATGAAGACATTGTCCGTAAAATGTTTTGAAATCAATAAATCAAACTTCAGTATCAATATTATTTATTTTTTTGACGCATGATTGATCAAGCGATAAGTTTAAATATGTACGTGTTTAAATAACATGTGAGAAGTTTATTTCCATAATTGTTTCTAAAGAAAATAGATAAAATAAATAATTGGTTTAATATAATAGATATTAACATATTTGATATAAAGAGAAAACTATACTTTTACAAATTATGTTAATTTTATTTAAATTTTGCTAATAGTTAATATTTAATATTTTTTAAATTAATTATATGTTAACTTTATTTGTTTTTATTTAATAAACATATATGTGATAATTACTAAAAAGACAAACACATATCTAGTTATTCCAACCTTTTAATAAAATTAATTTATGTATTAAAATTATAATATTTTTTTATGATACTAAAACACAAAATGGATAATGAAGTCCCTCTTTATCCAAATAAATATGTTTTGAAAAAAAGAAGATAAAATTTTACTTGCTAAGTACCTTTCTTTTATTAATCAATCATATACTTGATAAGATATATATAAAAAGTAAAATAAATATAAACAACAAAAATAAACACCAGACCAAAATCATGTAACCGATGGATTTTACCGTTACAGATCGCAGTCCCAATAAACTATATACTTGATAGATTTATTTTTTATAATTATATTTGATATGTTTTATTTTGAATCATATCTATATTAAAAAAATTTAAAATATCTTTGTTGATTTTAGCGAAAATATTATACTATATTAAAATTTGCAGAACCTCTGTTACTCCAGTTAGTTTGCCCCAACGGCGATGGCGTCAAAAGGTTCAACACCTCCGTATCCCAGTGCTGCTAGAATCGCCGATTCTCAGTGTTTTCCGCAATACACCGCTTCTCTCAAATGTCAGTACTCTTGTTGCTCTCCTCCTTCATCCTTTACATTTTTTTTTCTTTTTCACTTTTACTTTTCAAATTGATCAGGCTACGGTTTCTGATGATTGATGTTCTAATTGAATTTGAAATGGCCGTAGAATGTCTTATCTTTTGGATATAAGTGCGTAATTTCCGTACCTCAGATATATATGTATTTTTAAAATAATTTAGGTATCACGGTTTTGGTGATTTCGATTGGGAATTAGTGGATTCAGTCAAGTGGAAATCAAGTAGTTATCTTTTCAAGAATGAAAGAAGGAAAAAGATGTAAAAGAAAATTGAAGGAACCTGGGTAAGAACATTCAGTTTAGTTGACATGGTGGATGAAATGGAAAATTAAATATTGTTGAAAATAACTTGATCTCCATCAACATAATTTATGATCCTCTGAACTATTTCTCTGTGTAATAGGCTTCATTTTTTCTATGCTAAATATTTTGTATGACCATACCGCAGATTATAAAATTTATTTGCTTAGCTATATTGGTTTTTGTTCTTTTATAACATTATTCGAGAATAAGATTTTGGGCCTTCCTAATGTATTAGGTTGTGTTGTCGAACTTTCATATCATACTCTTTATTGTAGTGAGTGCCTTCTTCTGATTGATGATTGAATTAAGCATAAATGTTGAGTAATTGTTGGACCAGGGCAACTGTTGATGGTATACCTAAGGAGTGACAGTTCATAGTTATGTGATTATTTTGAATGTTGCACATTTCCTTTATGGGATCATATCGACCTTGAGCTATTCAGCCAATTATCAGTGTATCTTACACTCTTTTTAAACATTTCCAGGTTTAGAAAAATTTAATTCTGATAAGAGTAAATGTCAAGAACATTTTGATCTTTACAAGGAGTGCAAGAAAAAAGAGGTAACAGAAGTTATAGCATCTTGTTTTTTGTATTGTTTTACATTTTTCAATATTTTGAAAGTGTTTACATGGATCCTAGGAGGATTAAGTGATTCAAATGAATTGTGTATCTCAGCTGAAATGGGATGCTGGTATACAAAACAAGGAATCTGTCATGTTGGCTGAGCATATTTAGTTTTCTGTCAGCACAGAATTGTTCAGCCGTTAAGCATAATTTCTCCTTCCTTTGTCCATGTTCTCTCTTTCTCCACACTACCTTCAGAATGTTTACTGGGGCATAAATATTTGTAGGTTCCTCAGAAACACGGGGAAGAAAATTAGTTTTCATGGTGACTTAGCTAGTTACGTAAAGTTCAATCAGTCAATCTTTACATCAAATGGGCAATTAGCAGCGGAGCCTTGTCAGATCAAATTATGAAACTAATGGCATGACATATATATAATACAAAAAGAGGTTTTCAAAACATCATGTTATTCAATGCTTGTGATTTTAAATCACATGTTATAGTTTTTTACCAAATCTCTTATTATTTGAATCATAATAACCTCATCTAGCTTTGCAAAATTTTATGATGTAATATTTGTTATTTGGTTGGGTTGGGTCATTATTGTTTTCACTGATTCATTGTTTTAATGTGATTGTTGAAATCAGTTATAACATGGAAATATGTAAATTGGGGCTGGTTACTATGATTAATCTTTAGTGGGAATAGATTGTAACAAGGTATTTTAGGGAACTTGGTGTATTAAAATAATGCATTGGTGGCTAAATATGTTACTTTAGGGTGTAATTCTCTATGACGATAGGTAATCCGTAATAAACATGATTTCTATCACAATTAGCAGGGAAATTATTAAGGTTTTGCTTCTTCTAAACTAAATCTTATGGGGTTTGGTAATCTGCAGCAAACATGATTTTGATAAAAATGAGTACGAAACTTACCTCTTAAGTTTATGCCTCTTTTAAAACACGTGTCATGTAGGGCTTGAATTATGGTTTTATAAGTACTTCTAATTGCATCTTACAATCCATTGAACAAATAGTGCAATAAACACTGGTGTAAATACGATCCATTGCTACCTTTGTGACTGTTCGTCAACTTAAATAGGCAGCTCCGAACTGATGGAATACAAGGTTTTTTTAAGTTTGGGCATTTTAAAATAATACTGAACAGGGCGTAGGGTTAAAAATGTACCATTTGATTCACCAAAAATGGGCGAGTGTTAGAGCAATATTTAAGTTCCTTTTGTGGCCTAGTGGTCAGATGCTCAAATCCTATTAACAGCTTCTCTACATGTGGGAGTTGAGGCTGTAAAATCCAGAAAATAATAAAATGGGGTATAGAATAAAATAAAAATGAGTTAGTCTTGTATGGATAGGTGTTGAAATTGTTGGAGGAATAAACTAACTTATAAATTTGTGCTGTTATAGAAACACACGGCTGCAGCTCAATGTTCATCTTTATCTTTATTGTTTAACACTGTTAATTCCCCTACTCAAATCCCCCTCCTGGTTTGCCCCTGAATTTTAAAATGGAGTTAGAGCTTGATATATCTTCCTTGGGAACCATTGCATCTCTTCTTCTTCTGCAAACAGTACTCAGTACTCATCTTTCAGGGAATTTTTTTTATTGCTGCAATTTCATTGTCAAAATATTCTTTTCAGAGTCGATTCTATTCAAGTTGATGTCATTATCCATAACTGATACCAGTTTCTTCATTTTAAATAATATTCAGTTTATGAAGGTCTATTACTGGACACTGCCAGCAGTCAACAAGTTTTGTCATGCGTAAATTTTATTGGTTTTCATTTGTTCTCACACCTTAGAAAACGTAGGTCTGTGCCAATCACGACAGCCTTCTCTGATAGGTGAGATAACTGAAGGATATTCTAACTAGGAATGATCATGAGGTCACCTGACCAACGTTACCCGGGCTAAAATTTAGTTAAGTTGGGTTAATAGGTTGAATGAATTTCAAAATGTATGAAGTAGAAGTAACCGGTTGTATTTGGAAATTTTGTACCCAACCAACCTACCAAAAGCACTTGATATATGTAATTATCTTTAATCTTCAACTTTATTTCTCTATTCTTTTCAAGATCCAACTTTTGATATAAGATATCAGTTTTCTTTCAACTTTATAATTGTCAGATTTTTTTTTCCTATTCTTTGTGGGTTATTTTTTCCAGTTTTCTGTTTTATTTATTTTTAAATATTTACTCCAGCGAGAACCCAAATTGATTCTTATGGGGTCAGGTTAACATCTATCTGAATAGCCATAACTTCAACCGATCAATTTTATCAGTTTGTGTTCAAGATTTTCCTGAACTTGGATCCAATCAATGATCACTCCTATCCACAGTCTCTTACTGAGTATTATTAGTTAAGAAACCATATTACTGTCATTTTGGATTCTTTATCATTATCTCCTGTATTGTGTTCTCATTCTAAACATGTTTTATGATAGAATATAGTGGTATCAGTTGGTCTATTTAGCCAATTCCACCTAGTGTGAGAAAGGGTTTGTTGGTTGTTTTATTCTTATTATGAATTTCAGTTTGCCTGCATGTTTCCATTTGGTTACACGAGATATAAAAATAAATGTTTAACTCAAGGCATCGCATAAATTAAATGGTCGTAATATCTCTCTTAAGGATACAATGAATTTCGTTGCAGTACTAGTTTAGCTTGGCACTGTTGCATTTGTTGAGATATAATCGTATTAACTGCACATATATCCATGAATACATTGGAACTATGGCCAAGTCTTCCTCTGTTTTCTTTGACATAAATGCGCCGACTAACTCAGATCTAATATTGTTTCTAAAATTAATTTTCATTGTATTACCCATTGCTTGATAATGCTGCTTAAAATGTTTTGACCAGTTCCTTCACCTTGTTTAACAGAGGGAAGCACGATTGGAACGAAATAAAAATCGGTCCCTCTTCTCATGAAACCCTGGCTGGGATTTTACTGATTGTATCATAGAAAACAAAATCAAGACTTCACCAGGCCACTGGTTCACCTATTATAGCACTGAGGTTATGAAACTTTCTGAAACTGCTGCGAGATGATGTTCCAATAAATGTGTACAATGGTATTCTACACTATGCCCTTTTTGTCTCAATTCTTAGTTAGGTTCCTTTTTCTTTTCTTTTTTTTACTGCGGTTGTCTCACAGGGCCACTAGAGCAAAATGCATAGAAGTGTGTTAACGTCTGTTAAATTCTAGCAAGAAAATTTAAGTTAATCGGTGAGCACCAATGTTATTAATGGCAGTTAGCTAGCAGCAAGCGAATAATGGACTATGGCAAAAACATGGTAGCAATAAAAAACGCAAGTGACTAAGTAACATCTGTGCTCTATGAAATTGTGGATATTCTTGAGTCTAGCACATGGCGGAAACAATATTAGAATTCAGCAATAGCTAGAATGAACGTTTCTTTAGAGAACAATGCATCATCTTAAAGCATCACCTTACATGGAGAAACATAGATTGACTCAATTTTTGATACCTAAAGCTACTGAAGCATGCTTTTTCAGCACACATTTTTCTGGTTGCTTCTCCATGTTTATAATACTTCCAATTTTGTCCTTTTTAAATATATCTAAATTAATAAAAATATTATTTTGACTTACACGTTCTAAAATGTTTTTTTTTTCAAATTATGTAAATGACGGTTGCATTACGTAATTTTGAAATATGTATTCCATAATATCTTTTACTATTATTCTGAAATATATTTGATTATATTTCGGAATGTGTCTGACATTTGTTTGAATTGTGCATTCGGAACACTCCTTACCCTCTAATTTGTTATCCTGAATATGTAATCTGAGGTTTTTCTTCCTGCACCTCCGTAAAAAGTTGTTCTTTCCAAACTATCTTTCATTAAAAATATAATAATATTTTTTACACACTATCTTTCATTAAAAATATAATAACAATTTTTAGACGTCTTTATTTTTAATACTTTTCGGTTGGATCTTTGGGAAGGTAAAAAATGTTCTCTCAGACACGTAATTTGAAATAAATAAAAAAATGTTTCATAAGATATTTTTAGATTCGAAAATATTTTTTGAAACCCTCGTTCTTTTAAATTTTGGATTACAATTTATCTTTTTCAAACAAGTGTGAATTGAAAATACTTTCCTATTTCGGAAGTATTTTTTAAAATACTCCAAACATCTTTTTTCCATGGTGGCAGGCAGCGCCTCTGTCGTAGCGTTTCCCACACTTGTCACATTAGGGCATCATCTTTCCTGTTTTTCTTCACATTTCTTCTTCTTCCCATACATTTCTCCCCACAACAGAGAAGATGAGGGACGCCATAGTAATGCTGGAAAGGTTGAGGAGTTCGCTGCAGACCTCCATTCACAGGGACTATCAATCCTTTCTCCTGAAAACGTTGATGCTCCCGTTAAAGCTCCTTCGCTCATTATCTTTGCAATGCCGCCACCACGAACGCAAGATGCATCACTGTAAAAGTGAATAAGCCCTTTAAATAGGCGTAAAAAAACTGACAATTCTCTCGACAAATGTTAGGTAAGAGAAAAGATAAATGCAAAATTATTTTTATATTCGTTCACTCTAAATGACCTACTTAGAGGGTTTTATTATAATCTTCACAAGATTACAATTAAGTATTTTTATTACTTTTGTTTTGAGTATTCACACTACTCCTGGTTTGAGTATTCACACCACTCTTGGTACTAGATTATCGCCCCTAGATTTTCCTTGGGTATTCGCACCAATTTTTGTACTAGATTACCGTGCTTAGATTTCTCTTGAGTATTAGACTATCGTGCCTATATTTCCTTTGAGTATTCGCACCACTCCTAATACTAGACTACTGCACCTAGATTTTCCTTGAGTATTCGCACCATTCTTAATACTAGACTATCACGCGTAGAATTACCTTGAGTATTTGCACCACTCCTAGTACTAGAATATCGCGCCTAGATTTCTCTTGAGTATTCGCACCACTCCTGGTAATGAGGTTTAGAGGTTGGACGAGCTCTCTTGCTGGGTCGAGGAAACTCTTTGTTTGTGCTCTCACTGGGCGAAGAGAGTAGCTCGCTGGGCGAGCAAGTCATCACTGAGCACCAGATTAAATGTGTTGAGCGCCACTTTTCTAGTAGCGCTTGCGTTGAGTGCCAAGCTAGTTGCGTTAAGTGCCACTTTAAGACTTAATACCTATTTTGGTCCCTATATTTATTATTTTTTTTAAAGTAATCATTGATTTTTTTTTATGTTCAAAGTGATTCTCGAGAATTTTCGGCGTTCAAAGTTTTTTTTTTTGTAAAATTTGTTCAATTTAGTCTTTTTTGTTGACTGCGTCTAAATTTCTAATGACATAGAGTCCGCGTAAGAAAAACGAAATGAGCTGTCACGCAATAGAGCTCACAGTGGCGGGCTCACATCATCATCTCGTTATGTCATCACCATCTTCCTCAAATGTGCACCACACTCAGGCCACCATCTTTTTCATGTCATTGGACCATCGTGAGTTTCGCCATTAGCAAACGCCGTACTTGCATCTCCATCCTCGCACAACCATCACCATGTGAACCATAATCAACATCTCACCATCTTGATCTTTTTCATCGCGAACCAAAGAACTTCATCTTCGCGAGAACCTCTAAAGTGAAACCCCAAAAATCACAACACCATTGAACTTGTAGGAAACCCAAAATTCCCAAATCTCCTTCGAAGATCAACCCTAGTTCGCTTAACAATCACTAACCTTTTCGAACTAGAACCCTAACTCACGTAGATCGCATTCAACCCTTAAATCGAAACTGAGATCCTTCATCGCAGTAGGTTGTGTAGCCTTCATCATCTTCCTATTGCACCATCATCAACACAAATTGCAAAAACCCAATTCGCGATTAACCCTCAATTCGCAAAATCGCGTCTCTTCCATGAAAACCTGCAAAATCTCAAATCACACCATCATTAAACTCGTTCAACCTCCATTTATGACTCAAAATCATGTACAACGAGTGAAACTCTCAAATCGCTTTCCATTAAATCACAAAACCTATCGAAATCAGAATCAACCACAATCCATCATCGAACTTTCATGCCTCCACCACTGACTTCACGACAATCAGACCACAAACATTCAGAAAACCCAAAACACAGTTTAGATTCTTGCGCCAACCATCTTCTCCTCATTCACAACCCAATTCAGACCAGAAGCCAACCACCATCCCACTAAATCATTAGTCAGTCACTATGAGCTTAGGTCTATTACGTGATAGCTCATTTTGTTTTTCTTGTGTGAGTTTAGCTCTATTAAGTGATAGCTCATTTTGTTTTTCTTGAATGAATTCCACGCGCTTAGCAATTTAGCAATTTAGATGCATTAGCAAAAATATCAAATTGAATAATTTTTTTAATTTTATTTAAAAAAGAACTACTTTAACTGCAAAAGAATTCGAGAAAAAAAATGATAAATATAGAAATTAAAATAGATATTAAACTTAAATTAAAATAATTTTGGATTGATAAATTAAGATAGTATGAATAAATAAATGGAGTTTTCTTTTGTTTCAATGAGTCCGACACGATAGTGAATGAAATTTCCGAAGCATGGGTTTTAAATTCGAATACGAGATTCGCAGCAGTGAAAGTAGTACTCTGCAATGACTACTTCGACACTTTTCGGAATAACCACTCCGGAAATCTTACCGCGGTACCGCGTCAGGTTCACCCACATGGGCGTTAGCCGGGAGCAAGGGAAGTTGAGCGGATTGCCATCGACGACCGGGGGTATTATGGCAACGACAGATCGACTGCGGAGATGCAACACACTGTTTACAGCGGCACATGGTTTACGGCAGCCGCAGTGAAGGAGAATGGGGAAGAATAGGTCAGGTGGTAAAAACGAACTGAAAGGCATTTTTGTCTTTTTAATTTTGCTACGGGGTTGCTGGTTGCAATTAAGGTGGTGCAGGACGCAAAAGTCCTAAGTAATGGTTCGGGTTTTTGGGCCGAGAAAACTAGAAGAAAAAAACCGTTGATTATTCGGGTCATGCCGGACGCAGTCGGATTGGAAGTTTCATAAACGGTGACCGGAAAGCAGAAGAAGCAGAAGATGGAGCAGAAAAATTGGAACCTTCTGGACGAATCGCTGGGGCTTCACATTAATGACGACGCGAAGCCATGGCCTCTGTGTGGTCGCTTCGTGCTTGTGGAGGACTGTGTTGACACAAGCGCCGCTTTCGTTCTTCACCACATCCTCAAACGCTCCTTCTCTTCTCACCCTTCTTCCGCCGTTCTCTTCCTCGCTTTTTCTCATCCTTTCTCCCACTACGATCGCGTCCTCCGAAAGCTCGTATTTCCCTTCTCTCTCTATACATATATGCTCTCTTTTTTTCATGGGTACTGTAATCCTGTATTTATGTACGTTTCTTACTGTTGATTTGGTGGTGAAATTGCTTTTGCTATTGATAAGGTGGCTAAATATTCAATTTCACATTGGATGCATTTGATTCTGTTATTAGCTAATTGTATTTTCAACGACTGTAGTGCCGGAGGCACTATGACAGTGCCAGTCTGTCTATCTTTATTTTTGGTGGATACTAGAAACTGGTCCTTGAAGGTATAGACCATGCCCTGAGAACTATAAATTGAAAGAAAGGTTTGTGAAAGTGCAATTTGTCACTTAGTTTAATCTAAAAATGAAAAACGTACTGTGAATAATACTTTAACATAATTTTAGGGACTACAGTTATAGACTGATAGCATGAGGATTTATTTTGAAGTTTCTCCCTGGTAGGAACTAAGACTAAGGACCAATTTGGGTATTGGACTTTTTTTCTTGAGTAAACAATCAATTTGGTATAGCGCGTGATATTTCGCAAACTAAATTGATCGTTTGCTCTTTTGTTTTCGTCGTAGTTTGGTTTCATAACATGCTAGTCAATTGTTTGTCAACCAGCATTGGTTGACCACAGCGGTAGTAAATTGTGTCCCTCAATCAAGTGGTCCAGGTTTTGAATCCTGATTATGCCACTTTAGGTATGAAGTAAATCATGTTGGGAGAGGAACACTCACCTTCTGTGCCCTAAAGTTTCTGAATCATTGCTTCCAGTGATGAACGATCCTTACTAATACCATGGTAAAAATGTTGTTTGTCAATATCGTTTTCTTGTACTCTGTTACGATGTCGTTGTTTACTTGGTTGAATTTACCAATGTTCACGGGTACTTGTGATGTGATAGGGTTGCAACTTAACTGCTCAAAGAGATAATGGCAGATTCTTTTTCCTTCCTATGCTTATGTTTCAGTGTCCAGGTGAGAAACTTTGTTATTGGTATTTAGCTCTTTTTTCTCATTGTTTGTTTGAAAAAGATTACTGATGCAAGAATGAATTTGTTCCAATAGTTTGTCTTTAATTGTTACTGGTGTACTGTGTTTAAAGTTTAGATCAGAAACTACATGAGTTTGTCATTCATGAGTCTTTCCCTAACTCTCCTTGATTACTTGATTTCATTGTTATAATGGTTAAAGTAGGTGACGGAGTTACAATTATGTCTAGGCGATGTATATAGAAGAAATGCACAAGAATGAATAAATAAGTTTAAATGGAGAGTTAAGGAGTAATTCGGTATTAATATGTGATTGTTGTATGGAAAGTATGAACCAGAGACACATTGTGAAATTCTTGATGTTCTTCAGTAACTGGACAATTTTCTTAAAATCTATTGATGCTTTTTGACGTCAGTAGTAGCAATACAAATTTTTACTTTTAGATACTCAATATACTTCCACTAAAAGAAACAGAGGAGCATGAAGTTTAGGTGGCTATAGGTAGTCAAATTAGTTAGTAAACAATTGATGAAAAAGAAGTGGAATTTTTTAGTGGTCTACTTGTGTGTAGCTCGTTCATATCCTTGTTTGGGAGGATATGCAGGTAACTGAAGATAGTGAAAACTTTCCTTTATAAGTCACGTATGGACTGTAAATCTCATGACATATATTTGAGGTTGAGAATTTATCCGTGTTTGGGTCCCCTGATTCACAATGCAGGTTTTGTAGCTTTCAGTAGTAGTGAATCAAAAGCAAGGTTTGAGAAACATATTCAACATTAAAGAATTTAAAGATCTAAATTTTAGATGGAGAAAAATGAATCAGCAGCCCAGTGTTTGAAGCACAAAAGATTTGTTGTGTTAATTAATGATATACGAAAAGTATTTGAGCTTATATGAAAGTGTTTTGGTTAGTCAACAGCGATGAGAAGCCAACAATGTGTTTTACATATGAAGACACTTGAAATTTGGTTCATGTGTTTCTAAACTTCAATAGTTTAATAAAATCCTTTATTCAACAATTTCAGCCTGAAACTGTCAAAGAAATTAGAGTGTTTATACTTTATTCATCCGATTAAAGTAAATAAAGTCAACTATTATGTTAGATTGTTAGATATCCCATATTGACTTTTGAGTTGGTTTTGTTAAGTTTAGTTAAAGTCCACTTTCTAAGATGGGATTAGAACATGTATTAGCAAGTCAACTATTATGTTAGATTGTTAAATATCCCATATTGACTTATGAGCTAGTTTTGTTAAGTTTAGTTAAGCTTAAAGTCCACTTTCTAAGATGGGATTAGAACATATATTAGCAATGTATACTGGGTCATTATATCATCTACTATCGTGGTGTTATTGGACCATCCATCCATCCATAAATCTCTATTCTCATGTTTGAGATGTTCAGCCCTTGGTGGTGGGAATTTGTTGAATACCACATTTTTCATAGAGATATGATCAAATTATAATATATAAGTAGGATTAAACCTCATCTTTTATGTCAATTTTGTGAGATTGAGTTAGGTTTAAAGTCTACTTTCCAAGCTATTAAAAAGTAGCAAAAGATTGTTTTCACAATTTATTATATGAAGCTAAGAATGAGTCATAAAAGATGTCCAGAAGAAGAAATAACACTAATTTTAATCTAATTAATCTTGACTATATATTTCAAGATGATCCATTCTCTCCTTAGATCAAGGAAAGAGAACATCCACTGATGGAAATTGGGTGGTTGCTGCCTAGAAATGATAGTGATAGGGAGGGATATATGGAAGTTGGTGACAACATATCCAAAGATATCATGCTATAGGCATGACAGGAATCTAATGACTGGTGTGATATCTTCTAGACCTATTCTTTCTAATGGTTTATTTGCTGATAGCAAAAGTTCTGTGGTTAACATTGTAGGAGAGGAAAAATTTAGCAAAATGTTATACCTGAAGATTTTTCCAGTTCTATTATTGTACGAAGTTTTAGAGACCATGGTATTGATAAATATCTCAGAGTAGTTAAGGGTCAATAGAATGGCAAGTGAAAATCATTATTTTGGTGCAGTGTTGAAAGTTCTATTCCATTTAAGCATTTACATCCCATAATTCTGAATTAGCAACTGATCATAATGCGAGGTGTGAAGTTTGCGTGAACGCCATTCATCTGATGAGATTAAGAAGTTAATAATTATAAGAAAAAACAATTAGTTCCATTCCATGTCGACCCTTGTGTGGTTCTGTCTACTCCTTACGTATCTATCAATTCAAACATAGCTTTAGGAACATTAATGAAATTTAGAAATGTAGAGTCTGTTGGATTATATACATCCCTGAGTAACAAATTTTTTTGATGCCTAGGGGAAGGAAAACCCAATCATGATGGGCTTGCTTCTGTGTTTGAGCAAATTGAAAGAGTGATCACTGTGTTACATCAAGACAAGAAATCCATCTCTATCATTATAGATGATATATCTTTTCTTGAAGTTGCTGCTAATGGTTCTTCAGATGATGTTTTAAACTTGCTGCATTATTGCCATACGTTAACATCAGAATATGTAAGATAATACTACCTTTTCTTTGTTTGAAACTTATTCCTATGTTTTTAGTTCTTCATTTCTGTGTTTGTGTGACAGGGTTGTGCATTGATTGCACTTGATCATAAAGATATTTATTTGAATGGAGACAGGACTGCTGTTATCTTAGAGATGGAGTACCGTGCTGACATTTTGGTCAAGGCTGAACCATTGGCCACTGGTTTAGCAAAAGATGTGCATGGTCAGGTAGACTTGTATCACTCTGCACTGCAGTATAATAAATTCATACTGAAACTGTTTATACAGACCCAAGTTTTTCTAGATCTTAATCTTATTGAGAATAACCCGTTTAACTTCCTTTGGAGTTGACACCGACACCTTATAGGTTTTCCTGTCCATTGTAATCTAAGTTTATGACAGAATTGTTATTTTATATTTTTTCACTTTCTTGATTAAGTATACCCTGCCACTGCTGCCTTTCTATTGAAATGGAATATAGAATAGGATAGCTTTGGCTTTCAAAACATGGATTGCTACAAGGTTTTCAGTTTGATCTTTACTAAGAAACCTTATCTTAAGTTTTATCGTTTTGTAATGTCTGCTCAGAAGTCCTCATATTTAAACTCCCTTTCTCCATGTGGTGTCTTTTCAAGTGTATATGATGAACTTATTTTACTCTAATTCTTTATGGTGTTTGGGTAGAAATCAAATGACTTAACTTTTCATATAGACCTATTAATTACGTTTTTCAAGTTTCTCAATTCTTAAGTTAAAGAATTGAATCTGAATTCGACCAAAAGCAGTATTGTGTTAAAAATTCACCAGGGTATAAGTAGTCTGCTTATTGAATTTGATTTCTCTTTTCTATTCTTTCTGATTAATCGTCACAGTCCATATACGAGGGAGCTCCAAGGGTTGCTGTTATGACAAAAGTATCAGAACAGTTAATAAACAGAGTAATATGGAATATCAGAGAAAAGTTTATTGATGGCAGATTCTATTTTTTCTTTCCCTGCTACCATGGATGGTCAGGATACAATGAAAGCAATTAAACAACCATAATAGAAAGTCACAGAGAGAATTTCTCAGAGAGATGGGTCAAGTTTCTTTTTCCTCACTCTTTCTCTTTCCTCTAACAGAATTTGTACTCTTTGTCAACACTGAAATCCACGTAATTTTGAGCTGGCTCACTTCACAAGTGTGCTTTTCCTGCACTCAGCCTCTCCTTTTGGTTCCACCTCCTTTTCAACCATTACAGTTGCTTTTCGTATTTCAGTCAAAGAAAAAGGTCTTATTTTTATGTTTTGTCGCTAGGCCTAGCTTAAATTTATTCTATTTCAGGTTCATCTTAAAATATAGCAGAGCACTTGTTACAGAGTTGATCTGCAGACCCATAAACGCAATGACATTTTCTTCTATATCATGTTTTGACCCACAATTCATTTTCCCCAGCTTCTCATTTTAGTACCTCCAAAGTTTCAAATAAGGCATTCTGATCTTTATTGATTAAATGTAAAAGAGATAACTACCATTATTGTTTATCTCCCCTTTGTTGAATTTTGTTGTATAAGTGACACTGCAACTGCTAATAGATCATGCTACTGTTTGCGTTGATTCCTTTGGATTTCTCTTAGATGATGATTTAATATAAAAACTTATCTGTAACTTCTGATTAAATCATATATCCACCGTGGTTGATTTTGTTTATTGTTCGTTTTATATGTAGTTGATGGTGTTAAATAAGGAAACACAACATCAGCATGGAATTACAGCCATTAAGAGTTACAATTTTCACTTCAAGATCAAGGAAAATGGCATCGAGTGCTTTTATCCTGGTACAAAAATCCAATGATGATCAATGATTCTTGATAGGTACAATACTTAATCGATTGTGAGATGATAGAATCCAATGCGATTATACTTGAATTGGTGATTGACACACTTAGAGTTATTGGTTTTATTTGTGCATCACTGATTGGTGTCAAAGATTTTTTTCACTTGATCGTGTATTATGAGTAATGAAAGCCTTGGAGCAGTAAATTTTAGCCATACATTCAAAATGGATGCACAAGTTTAGATTTAAATAAAAATAATATTAATTATTTGCATAGTTTTAAGACGAAGATTAACTTCTCTCCTGCTTTCATTAGATACGCGAAAAAGATTCAGTTAAATTTATTATGAAGGGAAATGTGGAGAGCATGAGTTGAATCATTTTATTAAAAGCTTTTCAATTTGCTTCACATCAAAATACAGATGAACTTCCTACGCCTTTTATATTTCCTCTTGCACCCTTTTTTTCTTTTTTTAAAGCCTAAAAGTATACATAATTGTCAATACATAATAATGTTTGTGTTTCGAAATAACTAATTCAAAGCCCTCAAAAGGTACGGGTGTACATTTTAGAATACGTATTTTGAAGTATAAAGATAACATATTACTTATGAAGAAGTTCATATAAAAGGCGTATGTTTGTTTAAAATAGGTATCTTGTAACATAACGTACTTAATTTCAGAATAATTATTTAGGAAAGTAATGAGTTTATTTTGGAATGTTCTAAACATGAGATGTAACAACAGATCCGTTAATTTAGTAGCATCTTTATATCACTTCGGATATTGTAGTGCGGATTTGGTAATTGGGAAACATATGCATGATAGATATAGCCGGTGAAGTTATTAGATGAGAGACTAACATAAGAATTTTACATGTCAGGTATAGGGTGTAGCATTTGCTTTGTATGGTATAGAAACAAAGGTTGATAGACTAACATGAAGAGGCAGAAAGAGAAGAAAATTAAGTAGATGAAAAGGTACATGTTAGAACAGAAGTAACAAGCAGACATGTTTAGAGATATTACACGACAAAGATATTACAGGAATATCTTTTGAAGATCATTTCGATATATTCTGTGAAGTCATCTTGATGATCTCGACAAAATACCATGTATAGTTCATCTTAACAAAGTATTGTTTCACTGAAATAAAGTATAGTCTAGGCTTGAATTTAACATTTATTGATCTAAAATTTATTTAATATTATTTTTTCTAGTATCTTATTTTTTTATAGTAATAAAATCAATTATATCAACATGCTAAAGAAAAATCAACGTTGGGTATAAGATCACCGAAAAAGTACACTCTAATTAATGGATTGATGAATTAGATTTTTCTCTCTTGTGTCAACTTGGTCTCACGAGTAAAAAAATATCATATTAACTACATTTAGATAGATAGGCTTTTTTATGGTATCAAAGAATCAAGTTGGTAAAATGTATTAAATAAAATTTATACTATATTTGGTTTAGGTGCATGTAACGACGCAATGAAAATTAGTAGAAAGTGAAATAAATTTATTTTATTTATTATTTTTAATATTTTTTAATTTAATAATACAAAATGTAAATCTTAATAACATGTCTAAAACATGTTTGATTATGTAACATAAACATAATTGGTTGTGGTGTGATACAATTGATTATCTAATATAAATATAAGAAAACATTAATGACAATTAATCACGTTGGTTACTTTTCATGTCTTTCTCTTCATCTGTGATTATAAAATGGTTGCATCCTTTTCTTTCTTACAATTTTCATTTTTCATGGTCATTGAAAGCAAATGCAGAGAGCGTTAGGTTTACCATGTCTTGCAAGATTATATTTTTAAGGTTTAAACCCTTCCTTGTCCTCATTTTTGTATGAAAATCTCAGTTTGGTCATCATTTTTTCATCTGTCTCAATTGGGTCATATTTTTTGTAAAAATGAACACATTTTACCCTAACCGTTAAATTGTAACAAACGGCGTTAGTTGGTGCTGACGTGTTACATAATTAATACGCTGATGTCAAAATATTTTATTACGTGGAATTTTTATTTAATTTGAGAGATTATGACATGGCAACCTTTGGTCGTTCTCTTCTTCTTCGTTTTGATCTTTTATCTGGGGCAAGGAAAGTGCTCGCGATGGCGCAACCAAATGGCATTTACGGTAGCTCGTGGCGGCGTGAGAAATAATTTACTAGGGCTTAGATTTTGTATCTCCTTTCTTGAGCGTCAGAGATTTTTTCCCTTTCTGGAAGACCAGAGACTGCATCTTGTGAGTGAAAAACCTGTTTGCATCGGTGGAAAGCAATGGCTGGTATCTACGCATTATCAGAATCAAGCTCCTCCTCCAAAATGAATCAGGTGAGCATCCGAGAAAGCCCCATCTCCCAATTAAGGGAGACAGCCCCAAAATGGGGATTTCAACGTAGGATTATTGTTAAGGTAGCCATGGATACACTATCTTTTTAATTGATCTGGGATAAGGTTTCTTTTAGGAATTAACTTTATTAATTAAATTTGAAATCCTAATTGAATAATTAGGATGAAAACCCCCCTCTGCCTTCTCTAATGGAGTTCTGCACACTTCCAATTAGGGTTCTTTCTCTCGCTGACTATCAATTTGAATTGGTTTCGAACCACGAGTTCACTGCCTTGCGGATTTTGATTGGTTGCGAGTTTCCAATTCTCGTTTTTGGTGTGCTAAACTGTGAGCATTGTTTTTGAATTGGGGGATTTTCGTGTTTCGGTTGGGTTGGGTGTGCGGATGCATTATGCTACGTGTTTTGCAGATGGATTGTGTGGAATTTCGAAATGGTTGAGAGTTTCAGTTGTTCTATTGTAAATGGTGGAGTTTTTTTTTTGTTTGGGTGATTTTTCTTATGTGTATGCTTTCTTTATTAACTGCTGCAGGGGTTTCGGGATGTGTATCTGCAACTGAATCGAGAAGAATGTCATTTTTTTGGTCTGTGATTGTGTTGTAGATGGTGGGTGGCGCCGATGGAGCAATAATGGGGAAGGAAGCAGAGGGGGAGGGAGGAGAAGATCTGGTTCTAGTCAAAACATCACCACGTGGCCTTTCAAATCACCATTGTTTATTTAATTAAAACACTCTACGTAAATTAGGAACAAACGTCAACACATTCTCTCTGCACCACGTGTCTTTAATTTAACGCCGTTTGTTACAATTTAACGGTTAGGATAAAATGTGTTCATTTTTACAAAAAATATGACCCAATTGAGACAGATGAAAAAATGATGACCAAACTGAGATTTTCATACAAAAATGAGGACCAAGGGAGGATTTAAACCTATTTTTAAAGACTCCTTTGTATTCTTAAGTACATGGTACTCGAATTATTGATGCGTATGTATCTTTTTCTGTACAATTTTTAATACTTTTACATGCTTTCTTTATGAGAATATCCAAATTAAGTGGAACTTTGTATTTCTCTTACACAAACGTTGGGATTACAAGCAGCAAGCAACTTCATTGCTACGCTCAACGCCACGCTGGTACACCATGCAGGACGCTTCCTGATTGAAATCGACTGCTAGTCAGTTTGCAAGCAAAAGATGATTGAGCCTACGTAGAGATTTCGTTGGAGCTATTCTTTGGGACAAACTCGAAATGAAAAATCAAGTGAAAGGGACGGAAGAAATTTAGAAACAGTTTTCACCGGTTAACTATACTCAAAATATAATAGATTTGGTTTTTTTAAACTAAATTAAAAAATAGAATAATTAGTTTTTAGTAAAAATAAATTAGTTTTTTTAATTATAAAATAGTACAGTTAACTATTAGAGTAGTATAATTAAATTATTTTTGTTCAATCCTGAAATTAAGTCTACAAAATTAAGAATATATGACGGTTATAATAATGATGATGGTAGTAATTAATTAACAATGCTTCCTTAATAGCTTGAATTACATATTTTTTTGCCGTAAAATATTAGTTCGGTGTAGAATTAGTTAATTGTACAGAACATAAGATATTTTATAATAATGATGACCCGGGTCGATCCAGTCTGGTCCACCACGCGTTGGTAATTCAGTGAGTCAATTTAATCTGGCTCATTTATTAGCAATGAAAAAATTCGAACTCGACCCGACCCACTTCGGATTCGTGGATTAAACGGGTTGGTTTAGTGACTCATTTAATTATAAGTTTCTTTTAAAATAAAAAAATATATAATTTTTTTAATTCAGATATAAATAAATTTCACTCTAAAATGATGTTAAACTCCAAAGACAATTCAAAATAAAAAAAATCATACAATCCAAGCGTAATCCAAAAGCAAGCACAAAAGGCGAACAAATAAGTTTTTAATATTGATAATTTTTGTATCACTTGTCTATCTATAATATTAGAGTCTTGAATAGATAAATCTATAATATTTTTTTCTCTTGAAACATGTTTTTTTTTATCTCATCTATAATATAATAAAAAAATGGGTTGGTGAGCGGGTTCTAAGTGAACCGGGTTGAAAACTAACCCGCATAAAAAAAATTATAGTTTTTTCAACCCAACCTGTCTCAAACTAGTGGTGGGTCGGGTTGCCTCACGGGTTATAACCCATTTTGGCAACACTATGGTAATAAGTAAATATGTTTTGAGTGTATGTTTCAAGTGTATGGTTTCCTTAAAAGTTACAAATAAAAGTGAATTATTGTGAATGATTTCAAACATTAGAAGTTGCACAATATGGTAATATTGGTTCCAACAAATCTATAAAGTGATTTATTTTGTCCATAAATGTGTTTTCATTTTATTAGATAGTCATTATGTATAATTACATATAAAAAGGAAATCAATATTAAGTGATACATTTGTTAGTAATTTGTCTTTCTCAATCAATGAAGTTCA